TCACTCCCAGCTGTACCATTCTCTCCCCTGAGTGTAGAGGGTAGACTTGATCTGCTGGTCACTCCTAGGTGTATCATTTACCACAGACCATAATGATATATTCACGCCTACACATTGCTCATTGGATCCCAAAGGGCATCGACCACCTCCAGCTTTTCCTGCATCAATTCACCACCCAGTGGTTCAGAACCAGTCCACCTGTCCGCCTATTATTTCCCATTACCCATGCACAGCTTGGATAAAATAATGACATAGGTTTCCACACCGATTCAGACTGATGAAATAGTTACATGGAAATGTTCTGGGGAAGTAAAGGTGGCCGATATATATTTACAACATCACCCATAGTGAGATGGATTGAACAATATACTGACGAGGCGGGACCCATGTACCGCGAACGCCACTAGAGGCGGACCTATGTTTCCTGAACGCGTAGCCAACTCCACATTAGTACAGTAATTTCAGTAAGTGTAAACTAAATGACTCTTTTCCACGCCTTTGGGCGTTTTGGGCATATGGGGCTAGACCTTTATTTTATAGAACAATCGGCCTTTGGTTCGGCCACCTTTACTTGATAGGACTGCACCTGGTACCCACTCAAGGCTGGGTAGATTTGGGAGGCAAGATCATTTTTAAAAAAAAAACTGAACCCACGACCTTCCGATCCACAGACGGGAGTCTAGCCGTCCTTGTTTAGTAGTTAGTGGGTATGCTTGCCATTATTGCCGACAGGGTTCAATTCCCAGAAATAAGAGGTTAATTTTCCTCCTACACTTCTATGGAGATCAACACAGTCTTACAAACTAGGAACCAAACAGTTCTTCTGAATATTCTCCGATTCGCTGGAAAGAACAGGCGGTGAGACAAGGAACTCACTGTCACCCTACCTCAGTATTGTCAATTATACTTGTTAGATATGTTGGTCTGTCCAAATTAACGTCATCATAACGCTGTGTGATATCTAGCAAACAATACCGAATTAAACTCGTAGCTTTTAATACCTTCAAGAGAAAGAACTAAACACTTGTCTTTGAATTAGTGCCAGAGAAAGAACTAAATTATTGTCTTTCAATTAGTGCCAGAGAAAGAACTAAATTATTGTCTTTGAATTAGTGCCAGAGAAAGAACTAAATTATTGTCTTTGAATTAGTGCCAGAGAAAGAACTAAATTATTGTCTTTGAATTAGTGCCAGAGAAAGAACTAAATTATTGTCTTTGAATTAGTGCCAGAGAAAGAACTAAATTATTGTCTTTGAATTAGTGCCAGAGAAAGAACTAAATTATTGTCTTTGAATTAGTGCCAGAGAAAGAACTAAATTATTGTCTTTGAATTAGTGCCAGAGAAAGAACTAAATTATTGTCTTTGAATTAGTGCCAGAGAAAGAACTAAATTATTGTCTTTGAATTAGTGCCAGAGAAAGAACTAAACTATTGTCTTTGAATTAGTGCCAGAGAAAGAACTAAACTGTTATCTTTGAATTAGTGCCAGAGAAAGAACTAAACTATTGTCTTTGAATTAGTGCCAGAGAAAGAACTAAACACTTGTCTTTGAATTAGTGCCAGAGAAAGAACTAAATTCTTGTCTTTGAATTAGTGCCAGAGAAAGAACTAAACACTTTTCTTTGAATTAGTGCCAGAGAAAGAACTAAACTGTTATCTTTGAATACCTTCCAGAGAAAGAACTACAACTGTGGGACATGCTCCAGGAGGCACCAACCCAGATGCCCACCGAGTCATGTCCCCTGCTCAGAATGGGCCAGCCACAGGACGGACACTTTCAGGTAATGGCGCCTGGTCTCTAAGGCAGATTCCCAGCGAGTCATCGGAAGAATCTGGTTGTAAGCTATGTCAAGTATTGTAGCATGACCTAGGCTCCCAGGCCGAAACAGCCTAAAATGGGTATTACATAAAGTCATAGGAAGTAAAGGCGGTCGGTGTGCTGTAGGCCATTCCATTTATTATTTAATACAATTATGAGACTAGTCTCATATACCCGATTGGCCACTGGCAGACAGTTCCCTCTCCTAACACTCATATGTTTCCATAAGTTCACAGACATTTGCCTTCCCTAACACTCATATTTTTCCATGAGTTCACAGACATTTGCCTCCCCTAACACTCATATGTTTCCATAAGTTCACAGACATTTGCCTCCCCTAACACTCATATGTTTATATGTGTTCACAGACAGTTCCCTTTCCTAATACCCATATGTTTCTATGAGTTCCCAGACAGTTCTCTTCCCTAACACTCATATGTTTCCATGAGTTCACAGACAGTTCCCTCGCCTAATACTCATATGTTTCCATGAGTTCACAAACAGCTCCCTCCCCTAACACTCATATGTTTGCATGAGTTCACAGACAGTTCCCTCCCCTAACACTCATGTTTCCATGAGTTCACAGACAGTTCCCTCCCCTAACACTCATATGTTTCCATGAGTTCACAGACAGTTCCCTCTCCTAACACTCATATGTTTCCATGAGTTCACAGACAGTTCCCTCTCCTAACACTCATGTTTCCATGAGTTCACAGACAGTTCCCTTCCCTAACACTCATGTTTCCATGAGTTCACAGACAGTTCCCTCCCCTAACACTCATATGTTTATATGTGTTCACAGACAGTTCCCTCTCCTAATACTCATATGTTTCCATGAGTTCACAGATAGCTCCCTTCCCTAACACTCATATGTTTCCATGAGTTCACAGACAGTTCCCTCCCCTAACACTCATATGTTTATATGTGTTCACAGACAGTTCCCTCCCCTAACACTCATATGTTTACATGTGTTCACAGACAGTTCGTTAACCTAATACTCATATGTTTCCATGAGTTCACAGACACTTCGTTAACCTAATACTCATATGTTTCCATGAGTTCACAGACAGTTCCCTCCCCTAATACTCATATGTTTCCACGAGTTCACAGACAGTTCCCTCCCCTAACACTCATATGTTTCCACGAGTTCACAGACAGTTCCCTCCCCTAACACTCATATGTTTCTATGAGTTCACAGACAGTTCCCTCCCCTAACACTCATATGTTTCCACGAGTTCACAGACAGTTCATTAACCTAACATGCATATGTTTCCATGAGTTCACAGACAGTTCCCTCCCCTAACACTCATATGTTTACATGTGTTCACAGACAGTTCCCTCTCCTAATACTCATATGTTTCCACGAGTTCACAGACAGTTCCCTCCCCTAACACTCATATGTTTCCATGAGTTCACAGACAGTTCCCTCCCCTAACACTCATATGTTTCCACGAGTTCACAGACAGTTCATTAACCTAACATTCATATGTTTCCATGAGTTCACAGACAGTTCATTAACCTAACACTCATATGTTTCCATGAGTTCACAGACAGTTCCCTCCCCTAACACTCATATGTTTTCATGAGTTCACAGACAGTTCCCTCCCCTAACACTCATATGTTTCCACGAGTTCACAGACAGTTCATTAACCTAACATTCATATGTTTCCATGAGTTCACAGACAGTTCAATAACCTAACACTCATATGTTTCCATGAGTTCACAGACAGTTCATTAACCTAACACTCATATGTTTCCACGAGTTCACAGACAGTTCATTAACCTAACACTCTTATGTTTCCATGAGTTCACAGACAGTTGCCTTCCCTAACACTCATGGGTTTCCATGAGTTCACAGACAGTTCACTCCCATAAACCTCATATGTTTCCATGAGTTCACAGACAGTTCCCTCTCCTAACACTCATATGTTTCCATGAGTTCACAGACAGTTCACTCCCATAAAACTCATATGTTTCCATGAGTTCGCAAACAGTTCTCTTCCCTAATACCCATATGTTTCCACGAGTTCACAGACAGTTCCCTCCCCTAACACTCATATGTTTCCATGATTTCACAAACAGTTCATTTACCTAACATTCATATGTTTCCATGAGTTCACAGACAGTTCATTAACCTAACACTCATATGTTTCCATAAGTTCACAGACAGTTGCCTTCCCTAACACTCATATGTTTCCACGATTTCACAGACAGTTCATTAACCTAACACTCATATGTTTCCACGAGTTCACAGACAGTTCATTAACCTAACACTCATATGTTTCCACGAGTTCACAGACAGTTCATTAACCTAACTCATATGTTTCCATGAGTTCACAGACAGTTCCCTCCCCTCACACTCATATGTGTCCATGAGTTCACAGACAGTTCCCTCCCCTTTAACACTCATATGTTTCCATGAGTTCACGGACAATTCCCTCCCCTAACACTCATATGTTTACATGAGTTCACAGACAGTTGCCTCCCCTAACACTCATATGTTTCCATGAGTTCACAGACAGTCATGAAAGACGAGGTTTACGTGTACTCTGCCTTCATGCACAAAGACACCATTCGAGTCATCGCCTTGAGGAGAACTAAATCTGGATTAGCACTCAAATGTCAGGTGTGGTACCGGCACCAGGGAGACGAGCATGGGGCTCTGACAGACGCCATGGTGGACAATCTACTTGAGGACCACGAAAGACGGTCAGTCGTAATTTCATAGAACATGTCGCCTGTATTCGATAATATGTGGCCCTGTGTTTGTGGGGGCGGAAAGAGGGGGGAGGGGTGGTTAAACACATGCAGGCAATGTTTAGAGCAAGGAATGAACAAACCAATAAATTTTATGTGAAAGCCATGTAACTCTCTCTCTCTCTCTCTCACTCTCTCTCTCCATCTAATCTATCTATCTATCTATCTATCTATCTATCTATCTATCTATCTATCTATCTATCTATCTATCTATCTATCTATCTATCTATCTATCTATCTATCTATCTATCTATCTATCTATCTATCTATCTATCTATCTATCTATCTATCTATCTATCTATCTATCTATCTATCTATCTATCTATCTATCTATCTATCTATCTATCTATCTATCTATCTATCTATCTATCTATCTATCTATCTATCTATCTATCTATCTACCTTAGGCTGCTAACGTTTACACATGCGATTTGATCAAACCTCACAACTGTATTCTATGGCGGTCCATCAAAGCTCGAGAACTACTCCACTCTGCAGATTCACAGCTGCATACATCACCTGTCGCTCGCCGCCCAATAGCCACACTTTGACCCCGCTGGCTGTCAGCGTCCTGGTGGTGGCCGGAGTCTCCTGTCCCGTGGTCAGCAACACTGTGCTGGTGACGCCACCTGGACCAATGAGTTCAGAGTTTACTGTGTGCGTCACTCCCCTCAACTTCCGGTACAGTCGAGCCTACGAGCTGGTGGAGTGGATAGAGCTCAGCAGACTGCTTGGCGCCGACAAGTTTGTCTTCTATAACCACAGTACAGGACCTAATGTTGACAAGGTATATATAACAAAGGCACAACCTTTCTACTGAAGTTTGTTCGCTCAGTCTTTCGTATTAGTGTTCACGTTTTCCTGTGAATGTTGCTCTTCAGTTTATCGTGTACGGCGACCTCCACTTCCTCTCATTTCTTTCCTAATTTCATGTCAAATACGGCGGTACTGCAAGCGCTATGGTATAATTATTTATTCCGTCTTGTTGTGTCATTGTATTACTTTCTTTCGCTATGCTCTAGTCAGTCTGTTTCATATTCATTTCGTATTTTTTAAACTAAATTTTTTCTTCGGTTTTAACTTCTTCTGTGCTTTAATAGTTTTATGGGGGGGGGGGGGGGGGGGTACTTTTAATGTTGATTGTTTGTGATTTATTCTTTATTTTTAAGCTTATCTTCCTGTTCCCATCTATTTATCTGTGCGGCATTCTGTCTGCTTGTCCACCTATCTGCTCGTCCATACTTTCATCCATCCACTGACATCTTGTGCTTGCTTCGAACGATTTACACTTGACTCACTACGACAGCCATCAATCCGCTGCTAGTTTGTCAGCTCCTCTGTAATTGATGCCTCCAGATTCCTTGCCTTTAGAGCAGGAGGAGAGAAAGTTTCAGGTGATAGGTGTTTGATCCTCTAGCTTCATGAAACCTCCCGGCTCTTTGTTTAACAGTCTTTTTTGGGGGAGCGGGTGCAAGAAAATAGTAAAACAGAGGGATGGTCAAACATATATAGCTGTCAACCATCTGTTTCTGAGTGTTTTCTCCCCCTCCGCCACCTATCACCACACCCATCCCCACACCCGTCCCTACACCTATCCCCACACCCGTCCTCAGTTTCAGCTGCCTACGACCATCGGTCATATGTATATCTCAGTGTGTCTGACTTTGCCACCTCCCCCCCCCTTACCCTTTGCCTCCTCTATTTATAATCCCTACACAATCTCTCCCCCCCCCCCCAATCCCTGTTTGTCTCCCCGTTTTCCTCTCCCTCCCTCTGTACTTCTCCCGGTCTTCTCCCTTTCTATGTCTCTCTCTTTCTCTCCTTCTTTTGACGCGTATACAATTTTAGAATATCATCCGCGGGCTTGGAAACTCACCCTGATAACAACCAGACAGTTCAAACTGTTTCCTGCAGGTCCTGCAGATGTACAGGAGCCACGGTATCGTAGACATCCAGCCCTGGGACCTGCCTGTGCAGACAGACACCTGGCCCCCAACAAAGAGACCAGAGATTCACTATTTCGCCCAGATTGCTTCACTTAACGACTGTCTGCACCGATACCAGAATCGTTCGCGGTACTTAGTTTACCAAGACCTGGACGAATACATCATACCAAAAAGTGTAGATACCTGGGCAGAATTGATACAGGACAGGGAGAAAATAAGCGGCGATATCTCCGCCTTTCTGTTTAGATGTATCTTTTTTCGAAAAGAATGGCCCAGTCCGGCAAAGAATTTCCACAAACTTGCCAAAATATTCAACTCCGTTGTGTTAACTTACACACGAAGAGAATCCAAATGGCAGCTGCCAGGTGTCCGTTCCAAGTTTATTGTTAATCCGAGGAAGACAACGTCCATTGGCGTTCATCAGGTGTGGGAGGCCAGTAGTCGGGTGGATTATGTCCCTGAAGAGGTTGCACGTCTTCATCATTATAGAAACTGGGACAACCCCGCAGACACACAGCCTCAAGTAGAAGATTTGTTGGTTGCAGAAAAATACGGGGCACGATTGGTTGAACGATTACAAAAGGCGTGGTCAGATCTAGAAGGCGTTCCAATGGATGTTAACATTACCATATATGGAGATTTCGCCTGACAAGCTAAAATGGTTGTAGGATAGAGTTCAGCAACTAATTGTGCTGGGTGCGCAAGTACTACGGTTCACATTCCTATCAAAGATTTGAGCTGATGCCAGGGAAACTGGTCATTTTGTAGTTTTGAAACCGCTTTGTGCTGCTAGCAGCGGCGATAACAAGGCAGACTGCGCATCATAAAGCGTAAGTTCCCTCCTCCGATGACAAAGATCTTGTGTCCCGTGTAAATTATAGCGAATTGTGCTTTTTCATGTTTATATAAGCACCACATATCTTCACTAAATACGCGAAATACGCCTTGAGTAAACGAACCACTTTTTTAAAACCTGGCCCCAAGATGGGAGGCAGTTTTTTTTTTTGTTTGTTGGTTATTTTGAAGCCCCACCCCAACTGTTGTCAGGAGACCTAATATAACCTAACGGTTGAATGGGGTTTCTGGGACTTGTACCCGGGTGATTCTCATCCGAATATTGGAACTTTGAGTCACTGGGTGTTTATTGCTAGTTGTGTGGTCCTGGTGGGGTTAAACAAATTTATTGTCTCAGACACATAAAGATATGTGGTTTCAAGGAAGATAACAGCGAAATATATTTCTTTAAAATTACCTCTTCAAGGGAAGCAATATGGGAAAACAAATATTGAAAACGATATAGCTCCAGCGAAACTTTACTTTTACTGATTGCCACAATAAATAAAGAAACGCACAATAACCTGGGTCGCCAATGTTGCTGTCAAATTAAACATTATAGTCGGAATGGAACATGAAAATGTAACCCGTGTATCGATCAGGTTTGGGAGGAGTTTATACTTCATTTATATTAAACACATGAAATACCGAAAGGGTTTGTGATTTATGTTATAAGTTTAGTCCGACAAAATGATCATGGAACCGTGTTAAGTCTGTCTCCAAATGGGACGAATTTTTGTTATTTTGAGGCCACAGCCTGGCTGTTGCCATGGGGCCCTAATATAACCCAACCATTGGGTTGAACGGGGTTTTAGGGACCTCTCATCCGCGTGGTAGCACCTTGTGTCACCGGATGTTTGTCGCTCTGTGTTATGTCCTGTGGAGGGAAACGTCAGTAAGTCACGAATATTTTTGTTTTGTTTTTTAAGCCCCTCCCTGTTGTTGCCAGGGGCCTAATATACCCAAACGGTTGATCGAGGTTTCTGGGACCTCTCCATGGGTGATCCTTTTCAGCATGGTGGCACTTTGTGTCACCCGCTGTTTGTCGCCAGCGTGACGATAGACAGAATGGGAGCATTTCAATTGTGGCTGTGTCCATACCAACTGCAGTAATAACAAGACATAATTTAGATATCATTTTAATAAGTGACAGTCAGTTTACCGACTGCTGTTTATCGAACACATATAAGTTCATGGTTTCTGGAACCCTCGCTTCAGGCTCGGCGTGGCGCCTCGGGGTCGCTGTTCATACACGAACACCTAAATCCAAATGGCTAAGCACCAGATGAAGCGGATCTAAACAGACTGGAGACATCCAGGTATGACCTCGCTAGTAGTAAAACCTCGTGGACTGTTGTATGAAGCTGAGGATCGACTCGTGAGAGACTCGTGTGTAGATGCCGGGGAATCGTGGCCTGGCGCAGCCCGAGCCGAAGGAGACGATACCCAGCACCACGAAGCGGTTGTCGAACTTGCACATCAGCGGTCCGCCGGAGTCTCCCTGCAGGTAGAAGAGAGGATTTATGAAATACGTATACTACATATTTACCTAACGTTTGAGGAAACAGGTAGAAGAGAGGATTTATGAAATACGTATACTACATATTTACCTAACGGTTGAGGAAACAGGTAGAAGAGAGGATTTATGAAATACGTATACTACATATTTACCTAACGTTTGAGGAAACAGGTAGAAGAGAGGATGTAAGAAATACGTATACTACATATTTACCTAACGTTTGAGGAAACAGGTAGAAGAGAGGATTTATGAAATACGTATACTACATATTTACCTAACGTTTGAGGAAACAGGTAGAAGAGAGGATGTATGAAATACGTATACTACATATTTACCTAACGTTTGAGGAAACAGGTAGAAGAGAGGATTTATGAAATACGTATACTACATATTTACCTAACGTTTGAGGAAACAGGTAGAAGAGAGGATTTATGAAATACGTATACTACATATTTACCTAACGGTTGAGGAAACAGGTAGAAGAGAGGATTTATGAAATACGTATACTACATATTTACCTAACGTTTGAGGAAACAGGTAGAAGAGAGGATGTATGAAATACGTATACTACATATTTACCTAACGTTTGAGGAAACAGGTAGAAGAGAGGATGTATGAAATACGTATACTACATATTTACCTAACGTTTGAGGAAACAGGTAGAAGAGAGGATTTATGAAATACGTATACTACATATTTACCTAACGTTTGAGGAAACAGGTAGAAGAGAGGATGTATGAAATACGTATACTACATATTTACCTAACGTTTGAGGAAACAGGTAGAAGAGAGGATGTATGAAATACGTATACTACATATTTACCTAACGTTTGAGGAAACAGGTAGAAGAGAGGATTTATGAAATACGTATACTACATATTTACCTAACGTTTGAGGAAACAGGTAGAAGAGAGGATGTATGAAATACGTATACTACATATTTACCTAACGTTTGAGGAAACAGGTAGAAGAGAGGATGTATGAAATACGTATACTACATATTTACCTAACGTTTGAGGAAACAGGTAGAAGAGAGGATGTATGAAATACGTATACTACATATTTACCTAACGTTTGAGGAAACAAGCAACGAAATCAGATGAGAAACAAGATTGTTATGGCCTGGAATGAATGAGGCATCTGCGTGTAACCAGAGGGTCTGGCCGGCTCACTACACTCAGAGGAAAGGCATATAACCAGATTGTGACCGGTACCATCAGTATTGGAACTTTGCGCTGGCTGCTGAAGATGAGGACGGAGTACGCATGGGAATACCCCGACTGCGTGATGTAAATTCTTGAATTAACTCAACTATAGTTTGATGATTCTTGAGGATTCTAGACTGGTCAGCTCTGCACCACTTGGTGGTCAACTGATGTCTGACAAGCAAGACGTTGTGATGGCCCTGTGAGAGCCAGGGAACATATAGATATATGTATGGGAGTGTCCCAGTGCTCTGATGTCAATTTTTAATTTCACATTCAACATTGAGGATTCCTCAAGTCACTGCTGTAGCATCTTCATCATTACCATAATCAAATGGCTTGCAGATCAGGCTTGTCCATAGGTCGTGAACTCTGAAATGATTGGACGAGCATATGATTCACTAGAGATAAATTCAACTTGTTTCTCTTTGCTTCCGTCTGTTTCTGCAGAGCTGGAGAAAAGTAAACTTTGAAAGCAAAAACGCCTTGCAATACAGTAGAGATTTCGGGGAGGGGGGGGGGGATGAAGAGGGGGAGGAGGGAGAAAGGTCATGTCACAAAAGTAAAAAAAAAAAAAAAAACATGGTATGGGACGGGGAGATGCAGGAATTGCCGGACTCATCAAACATTAGAACAATAGTTAGAGAGTCAGGTGGGGAGTGGCTATAAACGCCAGCCAAAAGTATGTGTTTTAGCCACATGGAAATATAGTATTATTCATTCGCGCGAGGCTCATAGGTGGACCCAGCATTAAATGGGTACCAAGTTATGTGCTTTGGGGTAAACGCAGCCGTCGTGATACTGACCATATTATATATCCAGTGCGTTTGGGTCGATAGAAACATGAGTATAGCATCATTGGCACGAGTCTTTGACTTTGTTTGTTGTTGTATGAATACTAGAGCACTTTGGTCATACAAAAAGGGGCGTTATTGAGTCCTCAACCTTCGTAGATCAGATCAGATTTAGAGCTTAAGGGGGCTGTAAACGATAACAGGGTTCGACTGGAGGTAGCTCGTAGTTGAGTTTCCAACCGGGGAGATACTGAAGGGTAACAACCGGTGAGGTACTGGAGGGTAACAACCAGGTAGATACTGGAGGGGAATAACTGAGGAGATACTGAAGGGTAACAACCGGGGAGATACTGGAGGGGAATAACTGAGGAGATACTGAAGGGTAACAACCGGGGAGATACTGGAGGGTAACAACCGGGGAGATACTGGAGGGGAATAACTGAGGAGATACTGAAGGGTAACAACCGGGGAGATACTGAAGGGTTACAACCGGGAAGATACTGAAGGGTAACAACCGGGGAGATACTGAAGGGTAACAACCGGGAAGATACTGAAGGGTAACAGCCGGGGAGATACTGGAGTGGAAAAGCTGAAGAGATACTGAAGGGTAACAACTGGGGAGATACTGGAAGGTAACAACCGGTGAGGTACTGGAGGGTAACAACCGGGGAGATACTGGAGGGGAATAACTAAGGAGATACTGAAGGGTAACAACCGGGGAGATACGAGAGAAATAACTGAGGAGATACTGAAGGGTAACAAGCGGGGAGATACTGAATGGTAACAACCGGGGAGATACTGAAGGGTAACAACCGGGGAGACATTGGAGGGGAACAAGAACTGTATAAATAGAAACTAATAAGAAGAGTAAGAGTAACACAACTAACTAGAATAAGCAGAATAACAAGACACAGAAGAAGCTGATGTATAAGAAGAAAGTGTATTAACCTGACAGGTGTCTCTACCGCCTCTGTAGAAGTCGCCGGCGCAGATCTTCAGGTTGTTGACGTAATTGCTCCCGTACGAGGGCACACACAAACTGTGGTCAACGATAGGCAGCCGGACACTCTGCAGGTTCTGGGTCAGACCCGGGTAGTTCACTGAAACAAGGGTCATCCCAAAATGGAACGTTTATTTTCAGTTAAAATATGAAGAACATTCTAAAACCTTAAGAGCCTTCTATTGACCGCATCCGGCAACGTTATTTTCTTTATTATTAAACTTTGCCTTTTTTTAGCACATTTTCAAATCTCTACTGTGTTTTCAGTCCAGTCATTTAACAAAATATTTCTCAGCTCAATGCTTTAAGTGTATTCTATTATCTACCCAGAACTGGGCAACATCACTTGTCTTGTTCACCAGAAATCTTACCTTAGATGTACCAGGTAATGTTGTCCACGCATCCTTGTTTTCTCAAAATACTACAACATACCAGATAACGTTCTCCAGTCAATCATTTAACTGTATTATTTTCTGAAATAATCATTTATCTGGACGGTTTCCTGAACTCATGTAGTCTTAACTCACTTGATCATTTAATAGTAGTTTTCTTTTCTCGTTCACCCAGTCACATTGTTTTGTTGACCCAATAATTCATTGGTGACATCATTATCACAATCGATCGATCAATCAGTTTGACCTCTCCGGGTTGCTACCTAAAGGTTTACCATACCGTCATGAGATTAACAATTCTAAATCTGGACCCCAGACCAACAAGGCAGACCCCAGACACGAACAAAGTAAATGTAATAACTACATTCAACATCTGTTTATTTTCGTGAACACAAAACTAGCGTGTTTAGCAGAAAACAATATAGTAATAATCAACAACCAGTTTAACACGCCATGTGCAAATCCAATCTACATCTGAGACAGTCTACCTACTGAACATACCGCCAAACACGAAACCAGTGAGCCAGTTCATCTCTCCCGACGCAGTCCGCTGAAACTATGTTACGCTGAGGACTTCATACAATTCAGCAACGATAGTAGAACTTCATGTCTTTAGAGTGACTGGCGAGACCCAAGAGCAAGGAGCCAAGACAGCTTTTTCTGCTGTGCTAGGCCTTATATCGATTTGTCGACTCACTTGCCACTTCCGGAAAGTCCCGATCTGCAAACCTGCCAGTTTTAGTTCGCAAGTGTAGCCAAGCCTAAATTAGGATAAACATATCCCACCAAGCTCTTATTTGTATTATCGAATATAACCCCCTCCCCCCACCGCCACTATTTTTGTCTTTGTCCAGTTTCCCATCTTCGTGAGCCTTTGTGATGATTGAGATTTCAGTGTCCTGTGTCCACTGATTTTAATCCATATTAACCCTTTCATTACAGTTTCCTACGTATGGAGGTAGTCACTCACAACTATTGTTTGTCTTCTTCTGTTTCTTCTCAAGTCTTCGGCGTGGCTCTGTGGCAGTAGGTATCATGGCAGTTTCGTCAAATGGCCAAACCATCTCATTTGTTGCTCTTTAATGGAATGTATGACAGGTAGATACAGATCAGCTACAGAAAAGCCTTTGACTTACCGTTGTCCGTCCCCCAGCCGGCCGCCACGCAGTATTCAGCTCTCTTGGGATCTTCCCAGGCCTGGGGTAGACAGATGGGACTGACGCAGTCCGAGAAGGTCAGGTCTCGGCTCAGTCGCAGAACAGCCACGTCGTAATCTGTAGTGTCCACATACATATCAGGGTATATAATACATGTAATATCGATCACACACATACACACATATATAAAATACAACATATCCCGCGATGTCTACAGTGTCGGGAAAACGTTGTGTGTAGCGAGAGGCAAGCTAGTGAAAAAGTAAGTACCGTGTTATGACAGTTGGGTAATCAGACAGGTAGACACATGGATATGTAGATTAACAGGTACATATGTTGGAAGACGTGCACAGGCGGGTATTTCGGTAGGTAGATAGATGATATATTAGATACGAGTATATCTAATATGAATCTTACTTAATCAGTGACAAGAAAATCGGAAATTTTGAACATAAAAATTGTAAGAATAACATGAACCACGAAGAAGAAGAAAAAGAAGAAGAACATCGACATCTACATGATCCGTACATCGACATATACTTGATCTGTACATCGACATCTACATGATCTGTACATCGATATCTACATGATCTGTACATCGATATCTACATGATCTGTACATCGACATGATCCGTAGATCGACACCTACATGATCTGAACATCGAGGAAAACTGGCTGAAAGATCTGCAACCTGTCCCGAAAGCTGGGCTATTGTTGCCATCTGACAGGCTGCAGTGGCCGAACACAGCGGCGATGAACGGAAGTTTCTGGAAACAGAGGGAGATGTAAACCATCATGGACGTGGATAAAAGACACGGCAGACGAAAGCACATAGGACCTGGAGAACTGGCTAGAGAAGGAGAGACTTTCGTGCGTGCTGGGATGAGAGCGACGTTCTGTAGTGGATCTGCTGTTTGAAGATGAGATGTATGGTCAGGAACAGACATATAGGAGTTGAGTTGACTCTTAAGAAAAAACATCACAACACTCGGGACATTCACAAACCACACCTGTCTCCACCTTCTCCAGCACGCTTTGCGAGACCGTTACAATGACAGTATGCCTATGTAACTGATTCACAAGCCAACGAAAGGCTGCAGTAACCGCCTCAACTTCCATTCTCACACTAGACAGGACAGACTAGAGCAAGATAATTAGGTAAAAGGACGAGTAGATAAGTAGAGATGTGCATATATGCCAGACACTAGGTGAAGAAACGAACCATTAATTATAGACACGTGTCGGGGATCTACCATCACCTGCGACACCTGGTACACCTGGAGCCGAGACAGCAGCGAGGAGCCCACACGCACGTACACCTGGGTGGCTGATGCTATCACCCCAGTGTTCCTGTGGACATGAATACAGTCAATTAGAAGATTTCGAAGTCTTGGACAATTGTGTGTGCCTGTGTATGTGTGTGCCTGTGTATGTGTGTGCCTGTGTATGTGTGTGCCTGTGTATGTGTGTGCCTGTGTATGTGTGTGCCTGTGTATGTGTGTGCCTGTGTGTGACTGTGTGCGAAGACGTCTATGACATTAAACAAAACAAAAAACTGTCACTTGAATGTCCTAGAGTGGGTCTCAGGCAGATGTTTCATCAAACACGTCTGAGCTCCGAATTACTTGCTGCAAGAACAGAAGAGGCCATGTTCTCCCAGCTCTCAGTATCAAGGCTGTAGTTCTTCCTGAAGGCTCTCCTTATGTCTCTATGTCGGTTCTCGGGTCACCAACATTTGTTTCTCTGTGTGGGTTCTCGGGACACCAACATTTGTTTCTCTATGTCGGTTCTCGGGTCACCAACATTTGTTTCTCTGTGTGGGTTCTCGGGACACCAACATTTGTTTCTCTGTGTCGGTTCTCGGGTCACCAACATTTGTTTCTCTGTGTGGGTTCTCGGGACACCAACATTTGTTTCTCTATGTCGGTTCTCGGGTTCTCGTTTATCCAGTTTCCTAATTCTTATTTTCTATTGAAACAGTTCTGCTTGATCACTTGACAGCTTTACCTGTTCCACCTGAGAGGAGATTTCTGTTCAACAGGTTACGTGGCGTTACCCAAGTAAATATCATCTTGACATATTTCGAGTATTCCTGTTTTCCTGTCTACGTGTAGCTCCACAGCTCCTCTGGGAGAGTTTCCCTGTCTACGTGTAGCTCCACAGCTCCTCCGGGAGAGTTTCCCTGTCTACGTGTAGCTTCACAGCTCCTCCGGAAAAGTTTCCCTGTCTACGTGTAGCTTCACAGCTCCTCTGGGAAAGTTTCCCTGTCTACGTGTAGCTTCACAGCTCCTCCGGAAAAGTTTCCCTGTCTACGTGTAGCTTCACAGCTCCTCCGGAAAAGTTTCCCTGTCTACGTGTAGCTTCACAGCTCCTCTGGGAAAGTTTCCCTGTCTACGTGTAGCTTCACAGCTCCTCTGGGAAAGTTTCCCTGTCTACGTGTAGCTTCACAGCTCCTCTGGGAAAGTTTCCCTGTCTACGTGTAGCTTCACAGCTCCTCCGGGAAAGTTTCCCTGTCTACGTGTAGCTTCACAGCTCCTCCGGGAGAGTTTCCCTGTCTACGTGTAGCTTCACAGCTCCTCCGGGAAAGTTTCCCTGTCTACGTGTAGCTTCACAGCTCCTCTGGGAAAGTTTTCCTGTCTACGTGTAGCTTCACAGCTCCTCCGGAAAAGTTTTCCTGTCTACGTGTAGCTTCACAGCTCCTCTGGGAAAGTTTTCCTGTCTACGTGTAGCTTCACAGCTCCTCTGGGAAAGTTTTCCTGTCTACGTGTAGCTTCACAGCTCCTCTGGGAGAGGGCAGCCTTGTAATACATGTTCTGGAGTCGATTTAGCACGAAGACACTCACAGAGAGTCGTTTATACTCGTACTTAATCTATGCGAGTGTTTGTTGAGTCTTCAATATATAGTGCGTACGCGATACATTGTGTTCTGTTCAAATGGTTGATGCAATCTTGTTCTTTAATATAACTTTTGTTTGCTTTCCAAGCAGGGAATTCAACTGCTGGCACTGTCATACTAACTACTGACTGACCGACTGACTGACTTTCTACCCCACCAGGACATCACACAAGCGATAAACACCCGATGACACAAAGTGCCACCATGCGGATGAGGATCACCTTGGAGAGGTCCCAGAAACCGCGTTCAGACAATTGGCTATATTGCGGCCCCTGGCAAAAGCCAGAGTGGGGCTTCAAATAACAAAAAATTACGTCCTAAGAAGGACGTAAGGAATATATATAAACTAACTACTACACCATCTCAGATTATTGGGGGTAAAGTAGAGCACACAAAATACACCATAATTCTAAGTTACGAAACGAGCTTTAGGCTTTAAGGTTGATTGCTGTCCTTTACAAGACATTGCAGAATCCACCCTAGAACTTCTCGGCCGTTTCTGATCTTCCTAAGCAATTTTAAGTTCAGAAGTTTGCCACTGTTCTGAACGGTTAGCTCTTGATTCTATTGTTGAAACTTGCGCAGGGTTATCTGCCTTCAGCTCTGAAGAGTACGACAATTGCTTTGAAAAGAGGGAAAAAAATATGATGCTTTAGTTTCCAAATAGCAGGTCTATTTATTCTAGTTATCTGCCGTGTGAATAAGCAGACACTGACCTGTCTTTTAAACAGTGGGCAGCAGTTAAAATATGCCGACGATCCAGAATGGCTCCCCCACAGAACAGTGTGTTGACGCTGATACCCACCATCCAGGGGAACTCACACTCGCCGGCGTCCTGGCCTTGGATGACTCGGTTCCGGAATGTTGGCTGTACACCACAATCTGCAAGACATGCAGGCTCTTTGTTAGTTCAGGGAAAACAGACACCGCAATTTGCAAGAGGGGCAGGCTCTTTGTTAGTTCAGGGAAAACAGACACCACAATCTGCAAGACATGCAGGCTCTTTGTTAGTTCAGGGAAAACAGACAGCACAGTCTGCAAGAGAGGCTGGCTCTTTGTTAGTTCAGGGAAAACAGACACCACAGTCTGCAAGACAGGCAGGCTCTTTGTAAGTTCAGGGAAAACAGACAGCACAATCTGCAAGAGAGGCAGGCTCTTTGTTAGTTCAGGGAAAACAGACAGCACAATCTGCAAGACAGGCAGTCTCTTTGTTATTTCAGGGAAAAACAGACACCACATCTAATCCAATCAGTAAAAATTACTGTTGTCTATACCCTCAGGCCCTTTTTTAAAATTGATGTGTTCAACATTACCCAACCACCTTTTCTTCCCAGGACTTTACCTAATATCCATGTAAGGCTAGCTTGACCTGTAAACTACAATTAACCTTTAAACATGTCCGGCTCCTGTCGGATTTAAACCCACGACCATAGGATGTTCAGCGAGCGTCTATCCGCTACATAACGGCGACTCCCTTGCTACACGAAGGCAACACATTATGCTCGTTGACGGCTAAGTAATGAGTCCATATTTCTCTACTGCAGTGATGTCTCTAAAAACTGATCCCAAAATTTAAGCCAGATATGTTAATCATCATTATCAGTAATTTCCACTTCTGCCGTTAAGCGTTGTGGGGAGGAACAGTTAGCAATCCATTGATTGACAGGCAGTAATGGCTACTGTTATTCCTTGTCGATTTAGAAGCTCTTTAATGTCATCAATCCGTGTTCCCCTAGGGCGGCCTCTTGCTTTCACTTCAGATCTGTTCATGTGTAGTGCCTGCGTTGGTTGTTGTTCCGGCTGCATTCTTACTAATTGACCAAACCATTCGATATTATGTTTCTCAATGAATCTGCTGCATGGTGTTGTTCCTATAGTCTACCTGATGGTATTTCTAACTTTGTCTCGGATGGTTGTTGGCAGCTTGTATCAGGCATCTCATTTCACAGGTGTTAACTTTAAGTAAGTTAGCCTTTGATAATGTCCACACTTGGCACTGGTAGCACAGTGTTGGTTTAAATATGCTGTTTATAATCTCTTTCTTGGCGCTGATACTTATGTTTGGATGTCTTAATAACGGTCTCAGTCGGTATACAAGTGCACTGACTCGTCTGGTCGCATCTTGTTTCTATTTCCTAATCTATTCTCCCGTCCTCCTAACCTTAATTTGCTTCAGACATGTACCATTCAACCCGTTACCAACCCGGTACATAGCGGACCA